GAATTCATCTATGGTAATTCCCTTCTTTTTAGTTTTTTTTTTTATTATTTTATTAGATTATTTTGAATATTTTGGTAATTAGGTAATTAAGCAACAGAGATATAAATGACGCTTGAGGTGTCGAGACAATCCGGATTTTTCTCCCTTTTTTTTTCATAGAATAGATGGTAATAGAAATAAATTTTTTATTCTAAAATGGAAATTTGTAAACATAAATATGGAAGTATTATTGTGAAGAACAAATCATGCTTACATAATTAAACCTCTTGTGTATTCATATATGTAATCAAGTTTAAAATTTCAAATGGTTAACCGTATTTAGGTTTAGCTCAAAGCAAAAGATAGGATTCAAGTACAAAAAAAAAAATCTTAGATTTAGGCTTTTTTTAAAGATTTTTTTTAGAAATCTCCATTATGAAAAAAAAAATAATCAAATATTTTTGGTTTCGAACACTGATTGGTTACATCCAACAATTCAACAAATTATATAACACATTAATTAAAAAGTCATTACTTTTTAGTTTGAAATTAAAATAAGATAAATTAAAAAATACAGTCATGCAAACAACTTGTAAGATAATATTATATTTTAATAAATTAACTGTACAAATATCAAAAGGTACGTCGAAGCAAAGAGTATACAAATAATTTTTCTTTTAGTTTAATTCATATGAATTATCTTTGGCTTAAATGGTTCCTAATGTAATTGAGAAAGTTTCATAATATTATAAAAACATGTATAAGTTCGGGAACTTATTAATTGAGTTTGAGAGTGTAAAAATTTCTTGATTGATAAAAAGAAAAAAAAAAGTTGGCAAACTTATTAGTAAGTAGTTTATAGTTTATCGTTATTTGTTATTCGTTGTAGTGTCGTTAGTCGTTAATATGATTTATCATAATTAAGATCCTTTCTTTCTTACCAATAAGATCTTGAACAGTTTCTTTTAGTTGTCTTGAAATTTTGATGAGTAAAAATTAACAACACTTTTTGATTCATATACATTTTAGTATAATTTTGGATGGTAAGCAAGTAATTAATCTAAATTATATAACATCATTTAATTGGTATTATAATTATAAGCAAAAGGAAAGGAAGATCAAGAGGGAGAAATCAAGAACAATTTAGAATGATAAATTAAACAAAACCATTATTATTTATGAAAAAGAAGACACTTACATTTTGACAGAAAAAGGGAAATGCAAACTCAACAAAGTTTACAATCCACAACAAGCAAATTAAAACTGAAAATCACAACCATGCATGAATAACAATGACAAAGTTTAACAAACAGGCATATAAAAAAAAAAAAAAAGAGAGACACCAAATTATCAAAACCCTAGTTTCAACTCCAAATCCAACTTCTCTTCACCATTCTGACCAGTTGAAGCTTGCGATGCTTGATTGGAAGAGGAAGTCATCGCCCATTCATAGCTACCTTCCCCAAGACCTCTTTTTGGGTGCCATTCTCTCAGTAAATCAAGTGTCACAATCTCCTTAAAATTATCAACAACAGTTTCAACATGCAACAAAGGCTCCTTGCCCTTATCATCTGGCTTCTGGTAAGGATGGTAACGAGATATCCTACGTTGCCTCCAAAGGATCTCCTCCCTAATTAAAACATGGTTGTTATAATCAGGGACTCTGGAAGTACTCCCGATTGAGAGTGTCAAGGGCAATTGATTAACTTCATCTCTTGCAGAAAGGAAATGATTATGAATTTGGGGTGGTGGAGTTGGTGGTAGAAAAAGATGAGGAACACCATTTCGATAATGAGCGTTTTGGTGGCCACTGAGGGCATAGCCAGAGGGGAAAGTTTTGTTACACTTTGTGCACTTGAAAGGGAAAGGGTCCCTCTCTCCTTGCATGGTGATGATGGAGGTGGTATAGCAAGGGTGTTTTTGGCTTGGAGGAAAATTTGATGAGAAGGAGTAGAATGAAATGGTTATTTATATAGAGGAGAAATGGAGAATGGACTTGAAATAAGAATTAAATATTATTAAATATTTTTTAAATAATTTCTTTCCTAAAAGGGAAAAAAGGAAGAAAATGGCACTTTAGTAATGCTTAAGCTCAACTAAAAGACAACAAGGATAGGAAATTAGGGTAAGTAGGGAAGGATAATATTGAGATTTTGAGATTTGCTTAGCTGTTTAAAAGAAGCCAGTTAGGATTAATAAGGTTTGTTGTCTGTAGTTCTGTCCTTCTGTGGTGTGTTCATTAGTGATTCCTTCACTCCACAAACTTGTTGATATTTTATTGCCATAGACAGCTTGCTGAATTAAATTTCTTTTTTTCTTAATTATGGCAAGTGCATTTTCGAGAAATAAATATAAAGTGATAAAGGAAAAAATTAGAAAACTGGAAAGAAAAAAAAAGTTAAAAAAAAAAAGATAAATGACACTTATTAGTACATAAATTGATTCAATACACTACATAATATATTCATTAAAAAATTATTATTTTTTTTTTGAATTTAAAGGCAAACAAACTTAAAAATGTAAAAATTAACTGAATCGACTATATTTATATTATATTTTAATAATTAAACTAAGACAAATATTAAAAAATATATTAATCCAAATGTGTACTAATTATCAATTTTCAATTCCATAACAGCTACATGTCGTCAAATGAATTGGTTTCCCAAATTAGTATATATAGAATGTAATTTTGAGATAAGCTGCACACATATATATATGTTGAATTGTTATAATTTTGATTTGGATGAAATGTGAACTTCATTAATCATTAATCCAACAAGATACAAGCAGAACAAGTTCAAGCTCAAAAGAGGCCTTGTACAAAAGTGTAACTAACGAAAAAAAAGGGGGAAATAATCCCATTTTAAACTTTTTTTACAACTTATTCAAGCCGTACTTTATTTTTGAGACTAACCATATATATGCTGATGTTCTTGGGCTTGACTTTAAAGAATGTCATTAGTTTTTTTTTTTTTTTTGGTACATTAAAGGGTTAGCTACTTGGCAACATAAAGATTTAAGTCTCTGACCTTAATCCCAAATTAAGCTTTTTCAAATTAGTGGGTATTAATTTAGTTAAGCTTTGGTTAGTCGGGAAGAAACGTGTACAAACTGTAAGCATGGTGCTAAGCTTTTGGGGCAAATGTGACTGGTAGTTCCCCTACTTTAAACTTAGTTTTGATTTGGTCTTGTAACTTTAAAGGTTTTGAAGAAAGTCCCCTACTTGCATAATGTAGTTTATATTATTATAAAATTACAAAGAATGGACTGCCCTTTCCAAACCGCCCTCTTCTACATGTGCTTCTCTAGTTTCAGTGACGCAAGATCCTCTCCCAATTTTGGTTGGTAACGTACGTTCATATTAAATATTTCACTAAAATTACTCTTCTCCACTTTTTCTTCTTTTTTTAATAGCCAATTTATTAAAATGGTACAAGTAATACTCAGACACTTGTTACTATAAATTACTCTTCTTCACTTAATATATCCAATTCAACTTTAATATATAAATAAGAAATCATGTTAGTGTTAGTTGATGGTTCGAACAACTTGGGTTAAAGCCTACCATTGGTCTAATAACTTTTTAGGTTAAGGTCCAAGAATTCTAAAACACTTAAGTTTAAATCGTTAGTAGTGGTTGATTTTTACATTTATATACAACTAACAGTCATACTTCCATTTTGATGTGAGATTCAAGACGTTATAATTATCATACTTAAACACACTTGATGTCTACTTCAAACCCAGTCATAATCAAAATAAGGTTCACTAGACCATAAACATAAGATTCACCTAAAGTGATGTGAGGTCCACACTATCACCAACTTTGATGGTAAATATGAGCTCATATCTACAAAAGATAACTTTTTTGATACCAACTAAAACAACTTGGTCAAAATCCACCACCAACCTAATAACTTTTTAAATCAAGATTCATGATATGAAATCAGAGCGTTATAACGGTAATAAAAACACTTTTGCTCCAAATGTATGTAAAATTCCATGGCAGAAGAAACAAGACTTTGAAACCCATTGGGCTGATGGTGAAACAAAAGTGAGCTTAAAGATGAAGCTAAGTGTGTATATAAGCAAATCTGTTTAGAGTTTACAATTTTATAGTATGTCCTACACAAATTGTACATCTTCTAACCTACACAAACTGTACATCTTCTAACCATTCAGGCATCTGGAGCTCCATTTCTTATCAACGGTTCCCACTTTTCTGTTTGGTTTGGATTTTGTAATTAACTTTATATCATTCCAAGTCCCAAACAGGGCCATAAATTGTCTCATTGTCTTGTAGCCAGCTTTTGAGTTAGCATCACGTTTCTTTAATGTGAGAAAAGTAACCGTTGAAGCTGATGTACAAAGGGCCCGTTCAGTTCACGTGCTACCAACCCGTTGTACCTGGATATATACATCAATTGTATTGTAGAATTTTTTTCTTTAACATGGCATCCGAGCCTTTAACCCAACCAAATTCATTGAAATTTATAAATTTTCCTCTACTTCTAAAAGCAACCAGTACGATTCATTAAAATTGTTTATATTTAAATAACATTTAAAAGATTTAAACTTTATCTTCAACGCGAATTTGAATAATTTTTTAATCCCTTTAACCAAACTCAAGTTTGATGGTGAAATTTATCCCAAATAAAAGATTTGGCTGCGAACTATCAAACTTTTAAACTAAAAGTTTTATATTTTAAAAAATGACTTTTACTGTCACGTGTCCAAAATAAAATTCCTACTATCATTGATAATTTGGGATCATAAGAGTCCAATGCAAGTGGGCTCACTCACTTGTCAAGGGCTGAGATTGACAAAAAAAATTAATGGACTTCCAAACCCAATGCTAAGCAAATTGAAGTTAGCACCGTACGTATCATAAGCCCAGAAGTGCATTGATGATCCATTCAGATTTCAGATCAGTACCCTCGACTTCGAGAGTTCCAAAGCAGTGATTTAATGCAACAGAGAGAGATTTAGAAGGAAAATAGTCTTCTGGCCCAAAAGCAAAATGGGGTAAACATTTTCCTCAAGGGTTTGACGGCAAAAGGTACCCGTTTGCCCCTTAACTTTTCGATTTTGAGGGTTTTTACCCTCTATATTACAATACATGAATTTTTACCCTTTATATTTTCGAGTTTGAGGAAATGAAGCAAAATTTAACGTCGGAGCGTCACGTGCAGCATGTGCACCGTTGGCCTCCGTCAAGTGTGCACATGTCAACGCCACCTTAGACTTTTTTGACAACTTGGCATGCCAACTTGGAACCACATGAGCGAAAAATCTACCTGTTATCAATTTTATATGTGGGTCCCACTACTAACTAAAGGTTTTGAAAAAAAAAAGGTTAAATCCTCGATTCAGTCCCTTAATTTTTATTTTTAAACTAAATTTACCCTCAAAACAAAATATTGTGACTTGACACCAAAAATATAATTTAATAAATAACAATTTCTTTTTTTTTTCTTTTTTCTTTCCTTTCCTTTTTTTTTCTCCTTCTCTTTCCTTTTCTCCTTCCTCTCCCTACTGGGTTCGAAGGAACCCAGGGCCTGGGTTCGAGGAACCCGCGCCTGGGTTCCATCGAACCCAGGCGTGCTGGGTTCGAAG